AGCCGGTAGTATTTGAGTAAAAAATTATTGAAAACTAATTTTTCGACAATTTTTAGTAATTAATATCTTGTTAGCTATTACGAAAATTGTAAAATGGCAAAGGACTTTTTTTTTCAGTTTAGTCCATTTTGCCCCTATACAAAAGATTTTTCATTGATTATCAAACACCCTGTATATTCTGTGTACTGTATATGAATAAAAAATATTATACACATATATGTACATTATATATCACAGAAGCTTTATGTAGAAACTATAAATATATTTAAAAATATAAAACGATTAAAAGCGAAATAAGTATGGTGAAAATGCTCCCACGGCTTTTTGAATTGACCTTTTCTTCTAAGATAACTTTTATAAAAAAATTCTTACATATCAAATTTTATATATATAAAATTTTCTATATGGAGACGTGAATAAGTTAGAGCAAAAAAATTATGTTTTTATAATTTTTCGATTTTAGCTTACAATTAGTAAAAATTTAAATAAAATTCTGAAAAATCAATTACACCTAGATATCAATGAGGATATTTTTTTTGTTCTTTTTTGTGCGAATTTCGATTCTAAAAAACTGAAAATAATTTTTAAACATTGTTTTCATTCTGATTAAATTGATCTATTACTTAAAAAAAATTGCACGTAAACCTTTGTTCAACTTCGTACAAAATATTTTTTTTTTCAGATTTTTTAAAAGTTGGGCCACATTAAAAAAAAATTAAATTTACATTCTAGTTTTTTGAAAAACAGCGATACAAACCGTTTTTATCAATCTCTAATGTTTTATTTATCTATAAAGTTCCATGTTGAAATTATTTCATTTCTCACAGTCATTTTATGTTATAACGTCTTTTGACACATATCGCATTATTGCTTCTTTTTATTTCATTTGACTGTTAAATCTTGACTGCGTTTTTATTGTTTGACTTTTTTTTTATCTAAATTTGTAATTTGAGCTCATATTTATTAAAAACATATATTCATACAAAGACCGAAATTCACTTAATAGGACGCTCAATAATCATTGTGGATGACTAAGAGTACGGTTAATGCGATGCTGCAAATGCTTTGAAGCGTATTTTAATTGGTCAGTTTGTAAAATTCTTTCTTCTAATTGGTCTATTAAACGCTTCAAAGCATTTGTAGCGAGACCTTAACCACAGTCTGAAATTTTCGCCATATAATCAAATATGTACACATTTGTCTACGAATGTGGTACATATTTAATTATATGATGGAAATTTTAGTCATCCGCAATAATTACTGAGTATCCTACTGGATTTCGATCTTTGTATGAATCTATGAAACACAAAACACATGAACTTTCGAATATGATACAGTAATTTTATGTATTTTTTCTATTTTATATTTTTCTTATTATAATGTATGCATAATGACTAATTTTAAGTTATAATTTCAATTTTAATGTAACATTGATAACGACCTAAATGATCTGATCGGTGTCGAAATGTCTGTAGTATTTATGTTTAATATGTTGATCTTTATTTTTTGAAGATTAAAGTTATTGTTTCTACTCGTAGCCTTTCTTGTCTATTATTGTTAACCATATTGAAATGTTTTGCAAATTGAAATGTTTTCGCAAGTTGAAAGTTAATGATAGTTAAATTATTTTTTAATTTTTAATAATTCCATAACATAAGGTTTTCATTTTACATATCACTGGGTTGGAAGGCAGATTCAATTGATATTTATACTAATTTTGACAAACGTCGGTATTTAATCCTCATCGCTATCGTTATTAATTACAAGATAAATTTCTTTTGTAGTGAGATTAGTCAGAATTTCGGCAAATACTATGTGATTGCCCTAATGGTAAACGCATAATTGGATGTTTTTTTCGTATTGCCGCTGTGATATATTATTTATCTCATACTCGATATCAATAAAAAATAATAAGGCTTGCCGAAATTCTAACTAGCCTGTTCAGAAGAAGTTTATCCATAATTAATGATGATAGCGATCAGGAATAAATACGAATGTTAGTCAAAATGAACATAAATATCAATTGAATCTAAAATAACTGCCTTCCAACTTAGTGATTTGTAAAATGAAAAATTTATATTATGGAATTATTAAAAATTAAAAAATAATTTAGCTATCATTAACTTTCAACTTGTGATTAACAAAACATTGTAACGTGGAATTTTATAGATAGATAAAATATTAGAGAGTAAATATCCTGTTTAGGGGAGCTTCCCCACGATCTTAACCTTGACATGTTATCAAGGTCATGACTCTGAGTAACCTCTAACAGGTTTTAGCCGTCGCTCGTTATTCGTTAAAAAGTTATTAAGAAGAAAAGTTCAAAAAAAGATCTTCTATTGTATTCTATAGAACAAAAATTCTCTGCTTTAAAATAGATTTCCTGCTTTAAAAACAAAAATTTTTTTTTAAAACGTTATTTTCTTTAATTTTTGTTTTTATATAGTAACGCATAGAGGCGCACGACTTTTTTCACGCGAAACGTAGAAAGTCGTGCGCCCTATAGCAAGAGGGGAGATGGAAGTCGCTTTGCGTGGAAGTCATGCGTCCCTAAGCAGGGGGGGAGATGGGATGAGAGTCGCTTCGCGTGGAAAGTCATTCATTTCTCAGCAGGGAGAAGGTGGAATTAGAATCGCTTCGCGTGGAAAGTCGTACACTCAGCAGGGGGGAAGTAGGGTGAGAGTTGCTTCGCATAAACAGTCGTAAAATATATTTTAAAGCAGGAAATTTTTGTTCTATATAGAATAAAATATAAAAAACATAATATACAAAGACATCATTTTTCAAATTTTCCTTCTTAATAATTTTTTAACGAGTAACAAGCGACGGCTAAAACCTATTGGAGGTTACTAAGGGTCATGACCTTGACAACATATGTCGGGTTCAAGGTCATTGGAGGGGGTTCCCATAAACAGGACATTTACCTATTCTTCGTCTTCGGATATTAGTGGGCGATCCCGATTGATCACGGCTCGATTGGACACCAACAATCGTGCGGTGCCATCTGTCACAGCGACCGGTGCCTAGGAGCTTTGTAGTCTCAAGCGCTGTGAGTGGCTCGTGTCCAATTGAACCGTGTCCAACTGGGTGCCACCCGGATATTAGTGGCTCGAGTCCTCGTTATCGAGGTAAACTTGGTCAGTCGTTTTCAAGATCCCTCCAACCTTCCACAGGAAAGACAATTGTGCAAACCGCACGAGCGAAAAGTAACTATAAGCAGAAAGAACATCAGCGCCCACTCCCCCCTTCTCAAAAAAAACTCCAGCTCTCCAAGCCCCGGCCGCAGTGACAGATGGCACCGCACGAGAACAGAGGGGGAGAGGAGATGGAAAGAAGGAAGAGGAGGGAGAAGTTACATCAATAATTGTAGAGACTTATAGAAGGAGAGGAGAAGTCTGCACATTTTAACTTGGGGATCCTCAAGCATAGGAAAGATATTAGTAGAGTTGTGAGGAAAAGTTTTCTTAAGGAATTTGCAGAGGAGCAAATCTGCCATGAGATAATAAATAGTAAAATATCACATGATTGGCGTCCCAATCAATGTCAAGGATCACCACAAGAGCAAGCCGGAGAGTCATATTTTTCCTAAAGAGGCTGTGATTTAAGTTGTAATGATTGGTTCGAAGCCCGTTGATCAGAACAATTTTTTGTCGGTTGAGAGTCTTACGGTGAAACCAGGTCTTGGTAGAGGAGTCAGCGTACAGGGTGTACCAGTAGAATCCGGACAAATCTATTTTCTAAGTTTTCAGAATTATTTATTTTAATAAAAAATAACAGTCGTATGAAAAATATTCTTATGTTTAGGTTAGGGCGTCCCTAAAAAACTATTTTATTCAATATAGCTCCTCTCTACTTCGATGACCGCTTCAATTCCGGAAGCGCGCGCATGCCTTTGCTAGAATCTCCTTGTCCATAACCGCGAACAACGCCTCAATAGTGGCTTTCAGAGGCGCAACGTTGAGATGTTGAGTCTTGTTGGAGTGTCGCTCAATCACGCTCCACACATAATAATCCAGCGGATTTAAGTCCGGGCTATTAGGAGGCCTTTTTGCGCCTTTTCGATAAGATTAGTAGTCCTTTTGGTCTTCTCTCTAACCTGAATCTTATTCACCGGCGTATAAGAGCCTTCTTCGGACTCTTCGGAAGCCGCGTAGCGAC